ATATAGATATGAAGTGCCTTGGTTTAAATAAAATATAAATACGTACATAAAAAATAAATACATATAAGCAGTTAAGCACCGCGTACAAGTGACTGAAAAAAAACTCCCAGAATCGATAAAAACTGCCAAAAAGTCCATTTACCCTGGCAAGGTAATTTTATTCAATACAGAGTTGGGATTTGGTGGGGCAAAGTGTTCATGATGTTCTTAAAGACTATCAGCATTTGTGCTTAACTCACGGGCGGAAGGTACTGCTTTTAGAGCCAGAGCCAACCTTTTGATGCATTTTTAAGGTGATTCAATGGTTAAATTCTTAAAAAAGAAGATTTGTTGTTTGTAATTTCTGATCACTATTTCTCTGGTTTTAGAGGTCCGACCTGTGATTAACTGGGATAAAGGAAAAACTGTGACCTTTTAACTTGAGTTACCTGGTGAGTTCATTAAAATGGTTACTTTCTTTAAAGATGACAGTTCATTGTTTTGCAGTAATTGACATTAGAATATTCTGATTTAGGGCTAAACAATTGTGATGATGTGCTTCCTATATATATTGGAGATGATCGGACAGACGAAGATGCATTCTATAACAATACATAAAGGGTTTTATACTTATTAAAAATCAAAATGAAAATTAAAAGTAATGATGTGATAATCTAATTGAGATGACCTTTTGTGATCGGAGGGACAGGGGTTCGAGACAGAAGATTTTGATCCTATATAATAATATGATTAATCAAAAATATTATATTTACAAATTTAATACACACACAAATTTAATTGTAACATACTTTCTTATTGGAAATTAATTCTAACTATTTTTTTTTAATATTAGAGGAGGGCGTCCGGGGTGCTATGTGATAAAAAGGTGCCTCTTAAGCTTAAAGGAAAGTTCTACCGTACTGCTGTTAGGCCGGCTATATTATATGGGACCGAGTGTTGGGCCGCAAAGGGGCAACAAGAGAAAAAACTTCATGTAGCCGAGATGAGGATGTTACGGTGGATGTGCGGACACACGATAAAAGATCGGATTAGAAATGATTGCTTCCGAGAAAGTGTGGGGGTTGCACTTATTGTGGAGAAGTTGGTTGAGTCCCGTCTTAGATGGTTTGGGCATGTGTGGAGGAGACCGGCTGACGCACCGGTGAGGAGGGTCGATGAGATGGAGGTTACTGTGGGAGCTAGAAGGAGAGGAAGGCCTCGAAAAACTATAGGGGAAACAGTGCTAAAGGACATGGAGATCAATGTCTTATCTAGAGAGATGATTTATGATAGATCCCTATGGCGTCGTATGATCCATATAGCCGACCCCACCTAGTGGGATAAAGGCTTGTTTGTTGTTGTTGTTGTATTAAGACACTTGAAAATGCAATACCGAGTAATACTTATGTAATATCAAGTAAT